GCGGGTGGTGGGGCATGCGCGGGGAACGGGTTTGACGCAGCACCAGCCCGTTTTTCAAAGACTGTTGTCGAGCTGCCCGCTTCTACAGTTGGTGAGAAAAGGGCTGGCCTTGCGCCAGACCCAGCCCCTGGCACGCACCTGCGTCTGCAGCGAAAAAGACTGCACAAAAATTTGTGAAAGAGTTCTTCGCAGGTCATGGAATGGAATCGAAAAGAGCCCACCTTGCCTCTTTTATGAGTAATTAAGAAAATAAAAGAGTATATAAGTAAATACAAGAGCCCAAACACTCACGTCAGTCCAATGCCCGGCTGCCACATGCATTTGTGCCACGGCCTTGATATCGTTGATATTGCCGTAAATTCTCGCAGCGAGATTGAATTCGGACTTCCGTATGAAATAGGCTGCCAAACGTCTTAGGCTATCAACATCGCTCCTCTCCAGTTTACGCATCACATTTATAGCTCTAGAGTCAAGTAATAATGAATAGGAATCAAAGACCGAGTCCACCCTCATCATATGGGCGGAGTCAGGCCATTCATTATTTCTCTCTTCACTGATGCACCGTTACATTCTAATGCTGCCAAATGGACCGCGTAAATGAGGAAGGCGCGATACTAGGTCCCGAACCCGCCCATGCGATATGCGTGTAGCATTCTCCTTCAGTGAAACAAGTGAATTTCAAACGTACAAGTCCATCCAGTCATTGTCTGTGATAAGGATAACAGCTTTGTCCAGATCACCGCTGGAAATGAGCATTTCGGCGGCTATCTTTGGTTGATTCGAATCACGAGCCCAATCGGCTCGCTTGCGCATTAGCATACGTTGTGTCTCTCCTGAGGCGCTCGCCATCACTTCCTGAAACAAGAATTTCATAAGAAAGGCTGTTTGTTCCTTGAGATTTCTGTAGCTGGGAACCATCCACCCTTTGCTGCACACTGTTTGAAATTTAGGATAGATTGTTATAACTTCGCGCTTTAGTGTAGAAATGAATGTAAGTATGTTACCAACTCCGGAAAGCGGAGGGAAGGCTAGTCAAGACAGTGAATTGTATGTTTAGGAGAACAGGCGGGATGCAGTACTCAAAACCGCGCCCGTAGGAGGAGTAAATGCGCACATAACCACTCAGTTTTTGCCTATGCAGGGTCGTTCTCGTTCAGGTTCACGCAGGAGATTTTGAGGAGTACTGTATCCCACCTGTTTTCCTGAAGACATGATCTTGCAAGAAAGACTGACAAGTGCCAGCAGTTTTCACTGTTTCATCGGAAACCCTGGTCTTACACTTCTGTCGTAGAAGGCGAACCAGAAACGGCTGTTTTCACGGATTCTGTTTGGTGGGGTCTAACGAGGAACGAGCAGTTGTTTTCCTAGTTATTCTCAATTACTTTGCCATCGTCTTCCTCAAGCTTTGCTCTAGGCTTTCAGAAATGATTGTGAAAGGAATCCTCGAGAATGGGGCAACCTTGCTGAATCTGTTGCACCAGAACTGATATTAACGCAGACGTTTCCTACGCTGCTCAATTTACCAGTATAAGGCCCATACCTGTGCATCATCGAACATTCGCAAGTCTGTGAACAGTTGCATGGCGCGATTTTCGTCGCCATTCGAGCGATATAGAGCAGCAGCTTCACGGAATTTTCCTTCATAACAAAGAACATGTGCTCGGAGTATGTAGTCTGGCTCGTTGGCTGCTAACATTGCCTGAAAACTGATTTTTATAAAGGCAGAGAGTACAACTTGGTAGCAGACTGGGTCTCTCCGCTCTTGTTCTCATGTGAATCTCTGCTTCCGGAGCGTGTAGTCCCAAACATATTGATTTCAACATGAATCAATATCTAACCTTGATTTCATGGACGAGCTGTATCGATCGGTGATCCTTGTAACGAGCGAACGCCTTCAGAGCTATTTCGCAGTTTAGGTTCGAAATGGCGTCCATGGCTAGGATTTGCCAGTCTTCACGAGTCACACCAAGACAAGCCAAATCGTATGCTTTCCTAAAGTAACGATGCCAAGTAGATTCAATTCCTAACAGTTTCTAAGTTCAGAAGTTTGCAGGGACGCTTTCGACAGGCACTATGTGGAAGCGACAAATTTTCCAGCTGTGCGGACCACGTTGGTCGTATGGGCGGGAGAGTTAGCCATGGTGAGTCGCTCTCTTCTGCCACGCTAAAGCTGAGGAGCACACTAGGAAAAACACAACAATTGTCCTAGTCTCGTTCACACTTTACTACTGATCAGGGCGCGCAGTATATTAGGGATCTCCGGCGAGAAGGGTCGCATTTCGTATTTGGTCGCTGGAGTAGTGGGTTGTATTTCCCTTCAATAGAACGTCTCGGCACTCCACTTTTTGGGTTCCTCTTCCACGTGCGCTAAACACCGCTAGACAGCAGTCTTTGGGGAAAAGTGGAGGGCTTTTTGGAAAAAGAAATGCGGAAATGGGTGGAAAAGTGGTGGCAAGTACGGAAGATGGCAGGTAGGTTGGGGAATGGGAAATGTGCCCTTCCCAGAAGTTGTACCAGAAGGGGAAATTTTAAGAGAAGTCGTATTTTGCGAAGATTTTTCCCAGAAAGAGCGTGGTCTGCTGCGGATTGTACCCCTAAAGGAAGACCAAAACCAAATCCAGCTATTTTTCGACTTAGAAAAGTTCACAAGAGCACAGGCGATGAAAAGCCCTGCACAACTGAATGAAATGCATATTAGTGGTAGGTGAATACGGTAAAACTCACTGATACTCCTTGTTTTCAATGTATTGATAGAGCTGATTCGAAAATGGTACTTCAAGAGCTTGCATGGCATAGATATGCAAGCAGTAGACCTTATTTCCAGAGAATCCAACGACAAAACCCTGAAATCGAGCTCTGTCAGTCTGGTGTCTGTAAAGGGTGCACCTTCCGCACTGGTCTTATGGGCGGAAACAGTA